GGTCCTGACCTACTGTCACCCAGGCTTCCAATTTCCCAGCTCTTGGGCACCAGAAAAGCAGGTGAAGAGGAAATGCTGGGATCTCCAAGCGCCCCGCCCAATCTGTGGTACACAGTAGGACTTCAGCCGCACTAGTTCCTTTCTGTTCAACCTTAGACCTAACCGGTGTCACGTTTTCCCCTAATTGTCCAACCCTTTGTGTGAAGAGTGTATTTCCAGTCCTTTCCCCACAATGACAACCCAAGCGGGTTTTAAGTAAACAGAAAAAGCCAAAGGACAGTGTGGGCGCCACGGAGTGAAGACTGCGCGGGGTAACGAGGGACTGACTGGCTGGGGCTGGAGAAGTCCTCCAGCTAGCTGGCTTCGACCAGTCGGAATAAAGAAGTCAGTAACTTGGGGGAAAACGCAACTGGAAGATGCGCGACTGTCGGGGCAGGGGTGCCTTATCCACTCCCTGGCCTCGAGGGAGGAAGGCTCCCATTCGCTGTGGGAACGGATGGGACTTTGATTGCCCAGAAGAGCCAGTCGCCCTTTCTAACATTTCTCATTTGAATACATGAAAATGTGAGTTGGTTTTGGCAAGGCGAAGCTCGCTCACGGCCAGAGACGGTTTTGTCGCCCGCGGGAGAAGCCAGGTGGGGAGCAGCTCCGGCTCTGACATCCGGCTGTTGGCGAGCCAGGTCCACGAACTCTGGGGCGGTTCTGAAACCCATCACCCATCGGCGACTCCGACAGAGATCAGTAGGAGAAGGGACAAACCTAATGGCTGATGTTGGTTTGTTTACAATAGAATAACAGAAAGCCCGAGTGTTGAGTATTGGAGACACACACGGGCGCACACACCACCTGGCCAGGGATGCAGCGAGAACAGCAAAAGGACTCCGCACAGAAGTGGCCCCACGACGTCCTTCAGGTGGTTGTAGGGGGCCTACCTACTGGGAGTGGGACGTCTTATAAGTGGGGAGTTAATTCCTTAATTAATGATTTAGTGTCAGAAGGAAGAGAGGAGCGAAAGTATGAGGAAAGAAAAGGCAAAGAAGGGAGAGGCGGTCAAAGAAAAGGAGCTCGAATGCTGGCCCTGCGCCTCTGGCTGGTCTGGGCGAGAGTGGGCCCCTCAGAGCCGACCGCAGCGCCCCCCGCGGTCGTGGGCGGGACGCTTAAGACAGGCGCTCCGGAGGCACTCAGGTCCCTTCTCCAGGCACACCACAAATCGCCAGGGCAAGCAGAGGCTTTCCGCGTTCCGGCCTTCCTCATTCCTCAGCTGAGCCAGGTCCCAGTTGGGGTCGGCTTTGAACAGAGTTAAAGACCACAGGTCTTTCATTGAGTCTGATTCTCTCTCTTGCAGGAGGAAGACTTAAGCTTCTTATCTGGGTAGGAGGTGGGGGACCGAGGATAAATTCGGACCACCCCGCACCAAGCGTGGCTGGGCCCACGGAGGTCTTGACCTGATCACAGCACCAACGAGAGTCGTCGGGGAAAGGAGGCAGACTAGGAAAAGCCATAGAGGGAAGCCCTGGAGAGAATCCAGGGGCATCGCATCGCATCGCAGAGGCCAGCCACCCCAGACCCTGCTTTCGTCCCCACCCTTCGATCGCTAAATAGGTAGGGCCCAGGCTTGGGGAGGCCACCAGCTGGGTCCACGACAGGAGCCTTGGCTTGGAGACATCTTTAGTCTTTAGTCGTCATACCCTCTGCTTCTCCCTGCCTGGTCAATATCTGCGGGGAGGATGAGCGGAGGCACACGGGTTCAGTCAACGGACCTCCTACAGAGGGTCTGTGCAGGGAGGGAGCAGGCCCCAAACGCGTGGCAGGAGCAGCTTCCGGGAAAGGCGGAGCCGCTTTCTGGATCCGCGGCTGCCTTATGTACTAGGGCACCCCAAGGTCCTGACTGCCCCAGCGTCCTCCACTTGAAGAGCCCGCTCTCCCTGCTACCTCGGCTGCCCCCGGCTGCCGAAGACCAGTCCTCACCCCTGCGAGTTTGGCTCGGGACTTCAGAAAGCAGCAGTCTTTGCAAAGCAGTTGTGCAACACTGTAAGGACCTAATTGGGGAAAGTGGTTGGAAACAAGCAGGGTTAGGCAGCTGGACTCTTTACCTGGCTGCCAACTGGCCATCAACCCTGAGAGACAGCAGCATTAGTGTGTGTGTGTGTGTGTGTGTGTGTGTGTGTGTGTGTGTGTGTTTCCTAGTCAAGGACACTGCGTGGCCCTGCTGATTCTCTTTTAACCCTCAGGGAAACTGACTGGGTAGCATGTGGAGTACATTAGAACTTCACCTTCTAAATTTGTTAGGTGTCTAGGAATGCTGCCGCAGACCAAAATCCCTGCCTGAAAGACACGTGCGAGGTTCAACCCAGTCTCTCCAGGGGTTATCGCTGTGGGCACCTGCTGGAAAATCTAGCACTCGGTCTGTAAGACAGGAGGCGCTGTGTTCCGGGGAATCCCTTGGTCTGCGGACCTGGGAACCTCGGAGCTGGATCAAGGCTCTAAAGCTGACAGAGTCCATTCTGCACCATCAGTCTTAGGCTTTGAAGAAGCTTGGGAGAAACTTTACTTTGGCCATAACATTATGAACAGAAGATATTATTATTATACATTGATGAAAAAAACTATAGTTTAGGAAAATAAGCCAAATAAACATTTGACATTTTAAAATTAATTCCCGTTACAGTGACTACGTTTTTTTCTCTTAAAGTGAAGTGTTTTTGTGCACTGTAAAAGCTATCACTAAGCTATTACTAAGTTGTAACCACCCATAAAGAAAATACTGTAGTCAAGCTTGATGTTGTAGAAGAGCCAAGAGGGCGTTGAGAGTCACACGCTGGAAGGAACAAGGAAGCTCATTAACACTGAAAGTCTCCATCAGACTGAGGGAGCTAAGCATCAGTGTACTTTACAATTGGAACTGAGGTCCTGCTGCTGATGGGAACTTTGCACCAAAGAATTAGCTTCAGACACACACTTGCAGATACATTTACATAAACTCAAGGGTCCACCTCCATAGACTGCATTGGGGTGGGTTCTTGGTCTGCTGAGTTCCAGGTGGATTTAATTTCATTCTCATTCCTTCCCTCACAAATGATGCCCCCCTTCTGTTCAAAAAGGAATTGTAATCCAATGCTTTTATCTTTTTTATTTCCTTAACTGTACATCTTCACCCTCTCTGCTCCCCTGCTGATTTAAGAGATTTGTTTGGTTCAAGGACTTAACGTGATTCTCTTGCCAGATTTCAAGGAAGAAAGATTTAAGAGAACAAAGAACGGGGTGGGGGGTGTGATAAGATATCTATTTGAAAGGCAAGTTAAAACACATTTCTTAAAATGAGATTAATTACATTTTTTAACTTTGCAAAACAAGAATTTTGCAGTCTTAGTTAAGATTTTATTTTATTGCTACTTAAGGAAACCTGGTGGTTCTGCAGGCAGGTACAACATATACATGGTCACTCACACACTCCATCACTCATACTCAGAACACATATACACCCTACTCAGAAACACCCGTGCACCATCTCCCAACCTATCACCAATTTAGTGCCTATCATCCAGTCTCTTTGGTTGGTCTTTCTCCAGGACTTGTGAGCAATCCACTACAAAGAGCTTCGAGAGAGTCAAAAGGCTTTCCGTGGGGGAGAATTTCCCATAGAAGCCCAGGACCCATTAGGAACCAAGCGAGAGCTTGAAATGCTAGTCCCACACCTCCAGGTCAGAGACACAGTCTTTATGGGCTGCCTCTGGCTTTGGCCTGGCACCTCTTCAGCAGCGCAGATGTGTCCCCAAGTAGGAGTCCTAGCTTTCCCAGCTAACGCCCGTGTTTAGGGAGATGTCCCCTCCCCTTGACCTTTCCCTATCAGAAACCAGACGGTACCTTCCAGCTCAGTCCCCTAGGCTGCCGAAGGGGGGTGGGAGGAGGAGCTCGATTGAGGGAGGACGGCCAACTTGGATCCGCCTGCTCTACCACACAGACATCTGCTCTCAGTTTCTTCCTCTTTATGTTCACTACAGATGACAAGGGGAGTGGAGAGGACTGAGGCGGAAAAAAAAAAAGTTATGTCATAAAGATATAAAACGGTGCTGTGACTCACCTGCTCTTAGCCGCAGGTACGAGTTTCGTGGCTGCGCCTCCGCTCTGCTAGCCAGGAGCCCGGGTCAACCTAACGTCACTTGGCTCGGCTGACTCAGATGGCTGGGTTTCTAGTGACGAGGCTTTTTCCCTTTTCTAGTCTGAAGCCCAGGTGAGGGGAAAAATAAAATAAAATAAAGTCTGTATTCACCAGTCTCGCGGGGTTGAACTTTGGGTCTGGAATCATGAGGGTAGAGGCAAGGAACAGGTAAAAGGGCATGAGGAGCTCCGGACGCAGTCGCAGTTCAGGTACAGAGGGTGGTGAGTGCCTCTAGGGAGGAACCCCTTGGTCATCTCGCGCACAAGGTCCCAGAGCCTGGGCTCCGACGCCACCGCCCCAGCCCTTCTCCAGCTACCGGGTTCCCATCTAGAATCTTGGCCTGCCCTTCATGGTCCCGCCTATTTTTCTTTTTCCCTTTTCCAAAGGGGGTTACATACACTCCCCCGCCCCATTTCACTCTTTCCCTAGCCTCGGGGCTTAAACCAATTACACTGCTTTGCAAACAAAGTGAGGGCCAGGTTTGGGGGGGGAGGGGACTCAATGGGAGGGGGCGCGGGGGGCGCGCGCGGCGGTGGCGCGGCAGGGCGGGAGGAGCGGCGGCTGGACTGGCGGGCGGCCGCCTCGCAGGTGCACCTCGGGCTTTGTAGGTGCGAGCGTCTTTGTGCCGCGGACAAATGGGGAGAGGACGAGGAGGTGGGCACTCGAGCGACGTAAGATCCACATCAGCTCAACTGCACTCGCCTCACAGAGGCCGCCCGCTCACTTTCCGCGGAGGCGCTCCCCGGCGCCGCGCTCCGCGGCAGCCGCCTGCCCCCGGCGCTGCCCCCGCCCGCCGTGCCGCCGCCACGCACGCCGCGCCCCGCAGCGCCAAGCTTCCTCCTCTCCGGGGTGGCTTTGGGCCCGCGCGGGCGCTCCGGTGACTGCAGCTGCTTCGGCTCCCCTCCCCCCGCCCCGCGCCGCGCGGTTGCCCGTCGCTTCGCACTGGGCTGGATGGTTGCATCGGGCAGGGTTGCTCCAGGATGTTAGGGACTGTGAAGATGGAAGGGCATGAGAGCAGCGACTGGAACAGCTATTACGCGGACACACAGGAGGTGAGAGACTGGTGGCCAGCAGGGCGTCTCCGGAGCCCAGAGGCCGGGGCGAGGTGGGCGCGGGACGGGCAGTGTGGCTGGCGGGCTGGTGGCGCCTAATCGGTGCCACGGCTGCCCGTCTGCTTGGGGTGGTCCGGGCCCAGCTTTGGACGGGCCTCAGAGTCGGTCCAGTTGCCCTGTTGGGTCCTTGCTCTCTCAGCGGGCAAAAGAGTTTTAGGAAAGTCCGGGCTTTGAAAACATCCGCTCTGGGAAGCGCTTGCCTCTGCCCTGTAGAGAGCGGGAGCTGGAGCCCGGCCCTGGGCGCCTCGGGTGCCGCCGGCACTAGTTGGAAGTAACTCTGAGAAATCCAGAGCTTGCCTTCAGGGCAGTCTCTGCTTCCCACCGTTTGATTTGCGGACATATTCTGATAAAGGCGCTGTGCAGCAAAGTTGGGCGTCTTAATAATGAAACGATTCCTACATTTTGTAAAACTTCTTCAAAAGCCCTGTTTGGGGGAGAAGTGAGCTCATTCTACTCTAGAACCGCTGGGTGGCGCTAGTGCGAGCCAAATCCTTTTCCAGAACTCGGGGCCAAGAACCTGTTTCTCTTCATTGTCCCCTTGGTGGCCCGTTCATGGGCTTTATTTTACAATGTGCACAAAAGGATTGAGAGGAAAACCAGGTACAGGCAGGATCACCTCCTATTAAAAGTATTTTTCGAAAACAGTTTGCAGTTGCCCCCCAAAAGTTTATTTACCATTCTTAAAAACGCTTACTGGATTGGGCCTTGGATTATCTTGGGAAAAGGAAAAGAAAATAAACTCCCAAGTAAATAAACCCCACCACATGACGGCTGTGGACAAAATATATATTTATGTGTGTGTATATGTATATATACATATATATAATCAGAAAACATTTTCATAGCAATTAGTTTCTATATATATAGATATATTTTCACATTCATTCAAGTTTATTTGAATACCATAGTTTACAGGGTATTCCTATTTAAATCTATTTATTCATCTCTTACGTTTTCAAATGGAGTTATATTTGCTGATGAACATAAATTTGAGGAATTTATTGTTCTTTATTAAATTATCAGATAAGTGGTTTTAGTATTTCTGGGTTCTGTATTTTAAAATACCCACTTCATTCCCAAATTACTATTGATAAAAGAGTTTTTAAAAGGAGCTCAGAACTCTTCCAGAGGTTTAATTCTGATGCAGTCATCTCAATCCACCAGTTAAGCCCTCTAGTAAAAGAGCTTTCCTACATGTTGAAACTGAGAATTAGGAAGTAGAAGAGCATTAAGAGAAAGTAGGTAGAGTTTAATTTTGGAAAATTTTCAAAACTACTCATGAAGTTTCAAAGGCAAGGCTTTTGAAATGGTCATCAGCAGCATATTGGTTTGTGAAAAAAACCTAGATGATTATTACAACAAATTGTCACCAACATTTTCACACTTTAAAGGGCTAGAAATAGGTAACAATGCAAGTTTTTAAATGGTTTGCAGAGGTATACACGTAAACTCATGTCAAACGTATGTAGAAGGTTGATACTATGATGCACCCCTGCAATACCCTCCTGTTAATCTGATTTCACTTTTATTTGCCAAAGCCTATATAATTTCTGAGTATGCTTCCTTTTTTAAATATTAGAGTTGCTACAAGTAGATGGGAAACACTGCTTCTAGATATAATTTTTTTTTAAAAAGGAATGCATCATTTTGGCAAAAACTCCTAAAACAATAAAGCCATTTCTTGTAGGGAAATGAATGATGGTAGGGGTATATGGCCCTGGATGATTTGCTGTATTTTAAGAAGAGTTTCATTAACAGCCATCTAGCACAATCAAGACTGCTATGTAGTCAAGCGGAGCCTGCTAGCCTCGGGTGAGGTGGGCACAGAGTTGGCGCCCTGTTGCTCGGCCAGCGGGGGCTGGGCCGGGAACCCACTGGATCCTTGGGATGACGTGAAGAAGCGGAGGGTCAGAGATTAATTCTATTTTCGGAGTTTTTAAAGACCATTTGCCTCAAAGGCCAGAGGCTGGTGTGGGGTGGAGACTTGGTATACTGCCTGGTGTGGATAGAGGCGGCAGTGAAGCAGCCCTGGAAGCCAACCCCTGAGTCTGGTGTGTAAGGCGATTACACATCTTCCCGGGGACATATTTTCTGTGAGCGCTGGTCTTTCATGCCTGCTGCGTTAGGATTTTCCTCCTGCCGCGCAAGACATCTTTGCTCAGTCTGGGAAGGGCGCCTAACAGTTTGCCCAGGGTGGGGGGCTCCCATACTTTTTAGAAATGCTCTCCACCCCCGCCACCAGGAGTTTGCCCCTGGCCTGCTGCCCCCCCTCTGCCCCCAGCCTATCACTAACCCCGCCCTTCGGGGCCTCTTCACTCGCTGTCTCTGCTCCAGGCCTACTCCTCCGTCCCAGTCAGCAACATGAACTCAGGCCTAGGTTCCATGAACTCCATGAACACCTACATGACCATGAACACCATGACCACGAGCGGCAACATGACCCCGGCTTCCTTCAATATGTCCTACGCTAACCCGGGCCTGGGAGCCGGTCTGAGTCCCGGCGCTGTGACCGGCATGCCAGGGGGCTCAGCGGGCGCCATGAACAGCATGACGGCAGCAGGAGTGACTGCCATGGGGACGGCGCTGAGTCCAGGTGGCATGAGCGCCATGGGCGCGCAGCCGGCGGCCTCCATGAATGGCCTGGGCCCCTATGCGGCCGCCATGAACCCGTGCATGAGCCCGATGGCGTACGCTCCGTCCAACCTGGGCCGCAGCCGCGCGGGCGGAGGCGGCGACGCCAAGACGTTCAAGCGCAGCTACCCACACGCCAAGCCGCCCTACTCCTACATCTCGCTCATCACGATGGCCATCCAGCAGGCGCCCAGCAAGATGCTCACGCTGAGCGAGATCTACCAGTGGATCATGGACCTCTTCCCCTATTACCGGCAGAACCAGCAGCGCTGGCAGAACTCCATCCGCCACTCTCTCTCTTTCAACGACTGCTTCGTCAAAGTGGCTCGATCCCCGGACAAGCCAGGCAAGGGCTCTTACTGGACGCTGCATCCGGACTCCGGCAACATGTTCGAGAACGGCTGCTACCTGCGCCGTCAGAAGCGCTTCAAGTGCGAGAAGCAGCCAGGCGCCGGTGGAGGGAGTGGGGCCAGCGGCTCCAAGAGCGGCCCTGAAAGCCGCAAGGACCCCTCTGGCGCAGGTAACCCCAGCGCCGACTCCCCTCTTCATCGGGGTGTGCACGGGAAGGCCGGCCAGCTAGAGGGCGCGCCGGCCCCTGGGCCCGCCGCCAGCCCCCAGACTCTGGACCACAGCGGGGCGACGGCGACAGGGGGCGCCTCGGAGTTGAAGACTCCAGCCTCCTCGTCGGCTCCCCCCATAAGCTCCGGGCCTGGGGCCCTGGCATCTGTGCCCCCCTCTCATCCAGCGCATGGCCTGGCACCCCACGAGTCTCAGATGCACCTGAAAGGGGATCCCCACTACTCCTTCAACCACCCCTTCTCCATCAACAACCTCATGTCCTCCTCGGAGCAGCAGCACAAGCTGGACTTCAAGGCATATGAGCAGGCACTGCAATACTCACCCTACGGCGCCACCTTGCCCGCCAGCCTGCCCCTTGGCAGCGCCTCTGTGGCCACGAGGAGCCCCATCGAGCCCTCAGCCCTGGAGCCGGCCTACTACCAAGGTGTGTATTCCAGACCCGTCCTAAACACTTCCTAGCTTCCGGGACTGGGGGTTTGTCTGCATGGCCATGCTGGTAGCAGTGAGAGAAAACAAAAACAAAAAACAACAGCAAACAAAACCACACACACCAACAACAGCATAATAAAATCCCAACTATTTTAATTTTTCGTGCACAATTTTCCCCCAGTGGAAAGGACTGTTACTTTATTATTGTATTCAAAACTCGTTGTGTATATTATTACCAACCCCGAACCAACAAAAATTTTTCCTTCGAAGTTTAATGATCCACAAGTGTATATATAAAATTTTCCTTCTTCCTTGCCCTCTTCCCTTTCTTCCCTCTTTCCCTTCCAGACACATTCTAGTCTGTGCAGGGTATATTTAAACAAAAACAAAGAAAGATGGTCAAGTTTGTAAAATATTTGTTTGTGCTTTTTCTCCCCTCCTTATCTGACCCCAGCGCACGAGTTTACAGGTCCGTGGCAATACTCTTAACCATAAGAATTGAAATGGTGAAGAAACAAGTAGACACCAGGGGCTCTAGAAAGTATTGAAAGACTACAGCAGTTATGCAACAAAACATAAACAGAATATAAACATCAGAGCCATTTGTTTTTCAGCTTACATTTCTGATCCAGAAAGCAGTTGACTTTAAATGAAATACATATATACTGTCTATGGACTTAATTATGCTCAGATATGTAGACATTCTCCATATATTTACATAACATATAGAAGTTAATAGGTAGGTAATATACATTCTACATTGTTAAGAGTTGCCTGACCAAGAAGTTATAAGGACCCTACCCTTCTTGTTCTCTCCCCGTATCTGGGGCCTAGGAATCAATTCCTCAGGAATTGCCCTTGTCAAGAACTCTGCTCCTTGATTTGCAGGGTGCCATGGTCATGTCATTCTGAGGTCACATAACGTATAAAATTATCTTATGTGTATGTACACCATTTAAAGGATATTTTCCCACCAAAACAGAATATCACAATGTTGGAAAAGAGAGAAGTTAATAGGGAGCTGTATTTCAAAAATTGGTCCAAGATTCCAAAATCGTATTGATTGTGGCCATTTTAATTATTGCCATCGTGTGCTTGTTTCATCCAGTGTTAATGCACTTTCCACAGTTGGATATGGTGTTAGTATAGCCAGACGGGTTTTCATTATTATTCCTTTTTGCCTTCTCAATGTTAATTTATTGCATGGTTTATTCTTTTTCTTTACAGCCGAAATTGCTTTAAATGATGGTTAAAATTACAATTAAAATGTTAATTTTTATCAATGTGATTGTAATTAAAATATTTTGATTTAAATAACAAAAAATAATACCAGATTTTAAGCCGTGGAATATGTTCTTGATCATTTGCAGTTAAGGACTTTAAATAAATCAAATGTTAACAAAAAAAGGATTTCTCTCATTTTCCTTCACTTGACTAAATCCACAGCGGATCTTCTGAATATAATACTTTTCAAACTTTGAAACAATATGAATGACAAACAGGAAAATTATGTAAAACAAAAATTGTTTCATCTATGATTTAAATGAACGGTCGGTCATTAAAAGGCAGTGAAAGAAATTAAAGTGGGCAGGCAGACTGATTTAAATAGTCCAAAATTTGAGATTTTTAAAATTCTTTATTTCCATTAAGGTTTACTCCAATTTTCTTGCACGGCCTTTGTGTGTGTGTGTGTGTGTGTGTGTGTGTGTGTGTGTGTGTGTTTTATTTGAGTTTTTGCACTGTGAAATCAAATATTGCTAATTTTCCACCTTCCCCAATGTATACTTTTCCCCTTATCAGAGAATATTCAAGTGAGAATAATATATCAGCTGTGTCTGATAAAATTAAGTTGTCTGCAACAGGAACTCTTCAACCCTGTTCTCATTAAAAGAGAAACAAAACTTAGCCATCCTGGCAGCTTTGGAGAGAGGAGGGGAGTTAATTCGCTTCTGTAGGGTAAGTTTTGAGCCACCAGGATATTTCAGGGTAGCTATTTTGTTTTTGTGAAGATATTTTTTTTTAAAAAATACCGTTTGTAAAAATATCGCTCCTCAGAATCTTAAATCTGATGATTTGTTTGCCTTCTAAGAAGATTTGAAATGCAACTTCACACCCCTAGTTGCTTGGGATCACAAAATCATTAATCTCCTTTGATAGTAGGCTCACTTTCCAGTCCACCTATTTCTTTGTAAGTCTTGTTCAGATTGACATCAACAATAACACCACCGGCCCAAGTAGAGGCTGGCCTGCCTGAGCGCTTGTGTATGAACTCCATCCTCACCAGGGCTTGAACTTGGACAGCCTTTACTTTGATCGCACCACTCCATAACCGCAGACAAGATAAAAAGAGCTGTGGCGAGTCGCTTAATTATCGCCTAATGGCCTCCCCAGATGAGAGAGGGACGCCACATAGCACTTGAGAAAAATCCAGAAATCTCCGCTCTCTTCAACTAATGAAAGGAGGAAGGGAAAAAATAAATTACTGGTTTAAGTCATTTCGAAACTTAATTTGGAGGCCTCGGAAGGACGTTGAAAACCCAAGAGAGGAAAAAAAGCTTTGAATCTTAAGTTATTCATAGTTATATGGCGAGTAAACAAGTCATGGAAAATTCAAATTCCAAATGTAACATACATGCGTGAGCTTGGGCCGTGGCATTTGGCATGTCCCCCAGTTCCCTTGAACCTAAAGCGTCTGAGTTTTGTGCCATCCCCTTGGTGACGTTCCCTTCTTCCCCTTCAACACACTAGCAGTATAGTCTTCGCCCCACCAGGTTCCAGTCGCCCTTAGCTCTTGATCATTTACTTAGCAGATTTTTTTTTTTTTCTTTCTGGGTTTGCGGGTGGAAGGTGCCCAGAGCCTTTGGAGACCTCCTGGGAAGCCAGCGCCAGGGTCCTGAGGAGCGGGTCTGGCCTGGGAACAGAGGTGCCTGCAGGCCCAGCTCCTGCCCGCCCGGTGGGCTTCCCACAGGCTTGTCAGACTGCGCTCTCCGCCGCCTTTGGGCGAAGCGATCTGTGACCCGTGCGTCGGGACTCGGGCAGCAAGTTTCTGGGGAAGGGGGGAAGAGCAAGACCGCAAGCGTCTCAGGATGACAAGTGCAGTTAGTTCTTCATTGTTTGGGCATTTTCCCTGCCTAGCGAATAAATCTTCTGTTGAGCCAGAGACCTAAAAGTCAACAAAGAAGTCCGGGCTTCTCGTCACCGTCCTGCGGCCCCAGCGGCCTGCGTTGCCGCGGCCGCTCCCGCTGCGTAATCCCTTCCTCGGAAACCGGGACACACAAATGCCTGAACGCCCGGGGCTGGGGCGCGGCGCCCCTGGGCCAGGAGGAAAACATCTGTGGTTCCGAGGGAGCGCGGGGACCCTCCCCGAGCGTGCCGCCTCCGCGCCACTCCGGTTTCCCCCGCCCCCGATTTTCGTCGAGGAGTTCCAGGGTTTCTTCACCTCGGATGCTCCGGCGGCCCAAGGCCGGAAAGGGGATGCTCAGGGCTCAGTGGCGGTGCCCCCTGCTTGTTCTACTTAGGAATTTCGCCCGAGGTGGGGGAGGGGTCTCCAGAGGCGGAGGGAGGGCTCGTGGATAGAAAGTCTTCCTCCTGACCCTAGTGTAAAGCTCCGGAGGCCCTCGGATCCACTGCCAACGCCACGAGCAAACATATTTTTTAAAAGGAGGAAAAAATGTTTGGGGAGTAAGTGCTGGGGAGGGACCCTGCAATTGTTACTTCCACTTTGCATTTGGAAGCGGCAGGTTTGGAACATTTTTCAAAGTGATTTTAAAAAGCCAAAGGGGGGGGGGGAGAGAAAAACCAAAGCTAGGGAAGAAGAGAAACTCACCAGTTCTATTCAGCAGAAACGAAACAGCTCAGAAGTGTACGCAAGTAGGAGGCAGCTCAGTTCGTTTTCCACAAGAGAGTTAACACAGTGTTTAAATCAAAGATAAAATTGTATTTCCATTGTCCCTTCGGTGATCCCCGGCATAGCAGAATAAACTGGCGAGAATTGTTAAGAGATGAAAACCAACAGAATCTTATTAAGGTTTTTAACTTTCTGTTTTCATTTTTCAGAAGACTATGGATACCTGCAGATTTTACTGAAAGTATAAATTTTTTTTCCTCAGGATCCATAACAGACAATAATTCCCCTAGTGATAAAATGTTAAAACCTTGTTGTTTTGGCATTTTAAAAATTGATCTCAGTCACATGAAAATGCTTATTAAATTTCTTTGCAAAAAAAAAAAAACCTGCGATCGATACAAATTCCTGTCAATGCGGACAAAGTAGGAGACCTGTAACTCAAATTAATTAACCTTTCCTCAAGATCAATTGGTTTTCTGTTGATTTAGCAGTAATATTGTAGAACATTTAGCTATAATGTATTTTAATGTGATACCTCAATATGTCAAGAGGAAAAACTTGTTGAAAAATAAAATTGCTTAAATTATTTAATATTTAATAAATTTGTAAAAAATTATCTTCAAAATTAAACACTGTTTATTCGAATGATGGTGCAATGTGTTTTACAACTAATACAGTTAGGAGAAAGCTTAATTACTTCAGGATAATTACATGCGAAAGGTGATTATTTTTAAGCTACCTTGAGCTAAATAGGTAATCAAATTATGCCTAAATTTAGAAATAAAAAGTTCCCAAAATAAAAGAATTGTAATATCTATAGATACTCATAAGATTGAGAATGTTATAAAATTAAATCACTTGGAAGATCTTACAACCTTCCTGTTTATAAATAGAATCCATTTGGAGAGATATAAGGTTTTTAAAAAGCAGCTACTATGGTGCTATTTAGCGTATTCAAATAACATTTAACAACAAATTAAAATTTCCTCCCTCTCTTCTTCTTCTTCCCGAATAGTTAAATTTGGGACATAATGGTTCCATTGGTGTTTTCTCTTTTTAGCTCCCAGCCCAGCTTGGTTCATTGAACTTTGCACAGCTGGGACTGCAGCCCTCACCTTCTCCCCCACCCCACACACACCCAGCCCGCCTTCTAGCAAGCTTTAAGAGGGCGGAGAATACCCATGCTGTTCCATTATAACTTGTAAACTGCATGCGTGTTTTTAAACCTGACCAGGGGGAAATTCTCACTTGCTACCTTTCTTTTTCTAACTTCCTCAAGACAATTATGATAGTTATGGCTACTACACATTTTAAGAGCAAATGGCATGGCAAGAGTGAGCTCCCCTCCTCCTTGCCCCTCTGGGAAGTGAGGAGTTCTCCTTCTAGATGCCATTTCAGAATATTTTGGGGTTCTCTATATTCTAGTCAACCTAGAGTTATAGGGACAGGATACTATTCATCAAAATTCAGGAAGGAAGGGGCTTAAATGGAATCCTGCTTGTGGACTTCAGAATGCAGGTAGGATGCTGGTCAAGTCACTGGGGAAATTAAGTTCAAAACCCAGTCAGTCACACCCAGGGTCCGACCTGACTCTAGAGTTCTAAGAGTGAAGTTCCCTTTCTACTTTTCTCAACACCTCTTGAAGATGACATGTCAAATGCCCCCCCTCCAAACCAAGAAACAACCTGGAAATTCCCCCCAAAGCGTTGACGGGAAACAGGGAACCATGAATTAAATTGCAAACCTCCATAGTTTCTTTCCCCCCTCTCCTATAAAATTTGTTATGCCTTTGCCTGTCTAATCATGTTCTCGTGTCAGTCCCCACCAACCCCCGACTTTACATCAAGGAGATGTTATTTTAAAACACGAACAATTTAAGGAAAAGAAAGTAAGGGGCTTTGCAGTGGTTTATTTCGTTTATATATTTAATTTTAAGGGCCTATTGTGTACGAGGAAGGAAGTAGGTGCCCGTTTACTGTGTGCTCCTGGACAGCTGGTTTCTTTGCATGACTCAGGTGATGGGGTATTTTTTGGAATATTAGCTCTGGGCCCCATCTGGGCTTCTTCCTGCAGTACAGTTATAAACGCCCAACCCAATAACCTCTCAGTGCTGCCGAGCACCAACTCCCGCAGTGTCCTCCACGGCTTTTCCTAGGTGGAGGCCAATTCACCAGCTCAAACTGCAATGAACCGTGTGGTAGCGCAGAGCATTGTCCAGGTTTTCTGCCTTTCCCTGGAGTCACACTGCCTTCTGCCGACACGCGCTTCCTTTGTGTTATGCCTGGCTAATATATTAATGGGGCGGATAACCCGGATCCTTAGAGGAGAGGAGGAGGGGGTTGGAGATGGAGAGGATGGGGAAGGGAACGGAATTATTCTGGTTGCTGACTCTTGGGCCAAAGAGCCCAGTGGCGGACCGCCGGCCAGGAAGGAGTGAATCGAGCTTGAGGAAAGTTCACGTTAGGGCACAGAAAGTAAAGGTAAATTCTGCAACAGGTTTTAGAAAGGGTGACCCGATGCTAAACAGGTGTCCTTGCCTCAGAACGGAGTGGCCCCAACG